AGGTACAGCCTCCATACACGACATGCTTGGCCAAGGGGTGGCTCTGGGCTGGGCTGCCTGGTTCAGATCCCAGCTCCACAGGTTTCCTCATCTGTAACATGGGGTGAGTGTCTGCCCCCAGCGCTGAGTGCAGAGTCCGCCCTGGGTCCCCGGAGCCCTGTCTCCTGCCCAGAGCCCCCACCTGCATCCCTCTCACTCTAGGAGTCCTCCCTGCCCCGCCTGGAGCTGAAGCGAGGCGGCCCTAGGGGGTACCAGCTGCTCCTGCCGTCCGCTCTGCAGTAGCAGGCTGGGTGACGCGTGGCCCCTGGACCCCACCCAGCCCTGGACACGGCCTGGGGTGAGGACAGGCCTTCCTTGCCCTAAAATAAATGTACATCCCAGGGGGCTGGGACCTGCTACAGCTGAGATGAGGCTGATGGGTGGGGGCAAGGCAGCCCCAAGAGTCAGGGTTTGTTCCAAGTGAACCCCTCTTCTGGAAGGTGGGAGACCCTGCCACACACCTCACACCTGGGACCAGCCCACACCTGGAGCAGACACCTGCCCTGGCCTCTGCCCCCAGCGGCCTCCATGGACGGAACAAAGGCTGCTCGCTGACCTCCCCGCTGGTCCCTGGTCCCTGGTCCCTGGTCTCAGCATCTGGGTGGGCGGGGCCAGATGTTTCTCTCCTAGTGGGGGAGGGGTGGGCAGCGTTCAAGCCGGTCAGGAGGTGGCGAAGGACTAGGTGGCAGGTACTGCCTGGCGTTTATCTGCCCGCTGCGCAGACCCGGCAGTGCCCCCCCCTCCCTGCCAGGTGTGGCCCTGCCACACTGTGTTCCAAACCCAGGACCCCCCTCCACTCCTTGTAGCCGGCATTTGGCTCCAACCCCTGGCCAGGCCCAGGATCCGGGTCTCTATCGCCACTTGCTGGCCGTAAGTAAACTGCCCGGGAAGGCGCACCCAGGCACCCTGCGGGGTAGATAAAGGGTAAAATTGGGGCTGGACACGCGGTGGGGAGCTTAGGGCCAGCATAGCTCGTGGATGGGGGACCCCTGGTCTGAAGGGTGCCCTGGCTCCAGAAGAAAGGCGACAGGTCGAGCCACAGTTTGGACACACCTGTGGGGATGGGCTGGGGCAGTGCTCCTACCCACCTTGGGGTGGGCGAGGTGGGGCTGGAGTGGGGTTCCACCCCCGGGGTGACCTCTCCCCTCCACACCGTTTCTGGACTTTCACCCCCCACAGACACTCAGTATTTCCATTTCCTGGGCAGCCTGCGGGCCTCAGCGGAGGCCTGT